TACATGATACATGACCTTGTACCCTTCAGTACTCAGAATTTAATAAAGCTTCTTGCTCAGCTATTCGTGATTAATCCGCTACCTTTGAACCGTCGCCTCGCCGAAACGGACTCGACCTCTGTAGCTTAACAGCTTCGTAATTCAGCCCACAAGTAAGTTCATAACAGTGTCCTACCCATTGCGTATTACGCCCCGGAAACTTGGTGTCCAGGTAGATCTAGACAAGGTCCCAAAGCACGCATATCAAACCGTGTAGACTCTCTACTACTGCAGCTTTCAAAGGTCGTACTCACTTCCAGTATATTGCACCACACCAACAGCGATCCTACACCGTGAATCAGGGTTAGATCAACCGGAAATAGCTCTCGATGCCCGTGTGCTTACAGCTACAGTCCAACTACGCCGTCTAGATCCTCGAAATCCGCTCTTATACCGAGCTAACAGAGTTCTCAGTTTTCAGCGTCCTACCTCTCGTTTTGCTCGGCGTGTACTGTCTCTTCCCAAATCAGGCGTCGAAGTTTTTGATGCGGAAGTGAAAGACGCCCTAGAAGGGGCAAAATCTGCACTAGCACTCCCAACTGCTAAATTTGCTATGGACCTATGGATTTGTCTAAATAACTTAGAGGTTGCCACACTACTCTCGTCTCACTTTTCAGGGTCCTCACAAGCGCAATTTGATGAGTTCCTCACCTTAACACTCAAGTGGCAAGAACGCTCTCGGCTTGCCCACACTAGACAGGGCCAAATACGGGTTCGATGGGCTCCGAGCCACACATCCATAATTGGGAATGAAGCCGCAGATAAAGCCGCGAAAGATGGCTGCCATTTACCAACTTCAGATGTCATATTTTTCTCATATGCTGGACTGAAGCGCTGGGCAAATGAGTCCACAATGCAAGCCACTGGCAAACTATGGAGAACTCTCCTCCCCCAGCACATAAGCTATGAGAAACCAGGAATTATATCAGCTCCCTCTAGGCCTAAAGAACTTATGCTTTCGCGTACCACTCTAGGCCGTATCCTAGCAGCTAGATCTGGACATGGCGATTTCGCAAACTACCACGAGCGCTTTAACCACGAGAATGCACCAAAATACTGCCAACGTGGCCGTAGAAAGGCCCCATTACATTTTTTCTTCTGCCACATAGTGAAAAGAAGATCGCATTTTACGCAAGGTCCACCTTCAAAGATGATCTCGTACATTCTTGGCACACATGAAGGGGGGCCAAAATTCGGGGAATGGCGACAAGAAACGTGATTCATTACAGAGATATGCCCATAAAAAACCTTGGAGATTCAAGGAATGGCTAAAGCGAGCTAGCTCAAGAAGAAAGACAAGTAACTCAATGGAGCAAAAATATTTTTTTTGGCAGTTGAGGTCAACAGGGAGTGTGGACTGACCTGTGCAGGGAATGGCGCCGAGCAATCATTACATCACCACACAAGAGCTTAGCAATCTGCGGGAAGTAGCTATGAAAATGCACTTTCCAATTACACAATGTCTCGTATTAGTTTTTTTTTCCTTTCCTTTCAAACATGTAGAAGCCCAGAGATTAGACCCTGGCGTCTTTTGTCTCAGTAGGGACTTAATAGATCCATGCGTCAAGCGCGTGGCTCGCTAGACATAAAATTAAGATCATCATTATCATTACCTGTCGTCCCAGCGGGTGGAAATGATGCCTGCGTTGGCCAATGCAGGCTACAGGGTTTACTGTCGGTTCCCCAGCCGTTACAATTATGAGCTTACAGTAGTTAATGAGCTGAATCTCCTCTTTAGCATTATATATAGAAAGTGAAAATCTCATTATCTGATTGTATGTATTCAGGTCTACATTGATCTAATGAGGAGAAGAATTTTCCTATGTACAGGACTGAGGTGTCTGTGTTGGAAATATCGCGTAATAAAATGGGCGCAATATTTAAGGAACGAAAGTAGAAGTTGACTAAAAGAGTGTCATATTCGGATTACAGGAGGGCAAGACTGAACACCTGTACGCGGTGTCCTCTACAAACCTGGGAGTGAAATATTCTCCCAGAGCCAAGTTCAGTCAAATTTCGCAATATCAAAGAAGTTGGCCCACGAGGCAAAATTTAAAATTACTCCACCACGTCGTTTTTCCGCTCCCAACGAGTTTGACGCCTACCTTAGCATCATCAAGTCTACAAGTACGACCTAGTACATCCTTATCCCAATGACCACACCTCTCTTCGACCTTCTCTGGTCTCAGTTGACCACCAAATATAAGCCCACGCCGATGTTTATACCCGACGGAGGAAGCTAAGCGTGGCGCACAAATCTGGCAGACAGTTCTTTGGGATGGACGTGAGAGGGATCAGGACAAATTTACAAGAGGATGCAAAGAAAGGACTTAACATTGATAGGCGTGAAACTCCGAATTTTGGAAAGAGTTTTACGAATTGAACTTTGTGTGCGCCAAGACTTCGCTTGCAAGTGTGCAGCCGACACTATAAAATTAAGCAGACGATGGATGCTGTCCTGGTCCGCCTTCTGATGGTGTTCTCTGGTATAGTTTGACTAGCCTGGGCACTTACTCCACTCGGGAAGGAGACACCTGTAACAGCACGGCATTTTGCCATGTCATTACATGTATCAGGTGACCAAGAAGGTATGCTTGGTAAGGAGTCAATATGCGTGAGGAGATAAGATAAGGTCACGCGATCCTGGGAAGCGAGAGGACACACACAAAATCCCACAGATTATTTTACCCTCAGTTTTTAGCCTTTTCCCATGTCTTAGTATTTGCTCAACAGATTGAATATATAGTTATACAAGTTGTACTTTCACTTGTGCTTATTCTACGCCGTAACAACACACAAGATTATATTTCGCGCGGAGGAGAGTTGAAAGATGATGGAGGCACATCTGGATAACTCAAGGTTTTTAGGAAATTTCCCTGAGTAGGTATTCCCGGATGAGGGTTGACTTGGGGTGAAGAAAAAGCCACCATAACTTCGCGGTGGTACTTGCAAATGAAATCTGAGGTATAAGTGCTCTTCCTTTACGTTGAATCTTCTATTCTGTACTTTTCTTTGATATTGTGTCATAGCTAGATAGCTGCATACGCAATTAAAATCTGATGCAAAAAAAAGAGCCTTCCCAATCATGGGCAAGTAAACCCTTGTATGGACTTCACTAAGTCTTGCCTGAAAGTTTTCAGATTCTGTTTTTCTGCTATTTCCTGGGAATCTGAAAAGTTTTATATTAAAATATGGATAGTTGGATTGGGCTTGGAGTCTGTAATACTTGCTGAATTTTTTAGCCATTTAGCCTTCTAGCATTCCTCCCCATGCTAGAGCTCCAGGTTCTAATCTTCTTGCCATGCCTGTATAACCTACTCTACAGATTTCTGAGAGCAAACCATGTGGCAATCATTTCAGACACAAACGCAATTATTCTAGCCCAAAAAATATACTAAAAAGGCCACCATTCCGACACACATACTTCTAGATAGCGCTTTAGTAAGCCTCTTTACGAATTTCCAACAGGTAAACATAGCGATCTTTTTTGCATCAGATTTTAATTGCATATGCAGCTATCTAGCTATGATACAATATCAAAGAAAAGTACAGAAAATATGACTCAACTTACGAGAAGAGCACTCATGCCTCGGATTTCATTTGCAAGAACCACTACGAAGCCATGGTCGCTTTTTCTTAACCTCAAGGCAGTCCTGATCTGTGAATACCCACCCGGGGAAGAAGTCTCAAGAACCCGAGTTAAATAGAAATGCCTCTATCATCTATCAACTTGCCACCGCGCACAATGCTCTTCAAAATGTAAATCTTGTTGCCAAAGTCTGTTTTCTCACACCCATAGAGATTGTACTCTTCATTTATATCATCTTGTAAGCTTGTCCAGATCCATCTAGAGCTCATTCCAAAGAACTACGCTCTAAACTCGTGCGCCATTATTTTGTCCTCCTGCGCGTATTTGTATCGTCGTGGGCTTATATTTAATGGCCAGCTGAGATCAGAAAATAGTCGATGAGAGGTTTTGTAATCGAAATGTAGATACACTTGATCGTACTTGCAGAGTTGATGAGGCTTAGCTAGTTGGCTCTTAATGAGTTGCGCGATTAGATTTGATTAAATAAGATGTGATTTGCATTATTAGTTTTCTCTGAGTCAATGACTATGGAGGACTGGGGGGACTATTCTCAACACCCGTCAGTGGTGTCCCCTACGAACCTCCAGCTCTCACTGTAGGGTTTACAGAGCCGAGTTTGAGTAACACCTTCGTCTTTACTTCGATGAGACTTTCCAATCGCTTCCGCGGTCTGTATCGTCTTCATCTCTAAGCACATCCTCCTATCACCACTATCATGAAGCTAACCACGACCAGATCGGATGGTACGGTCGGAGCCCTACTCATCACTAACCCTTGATCATGGACGAAAAGCCATCCGATAAGTTTCCGGAGCGTACCCAGCCCCCGATACGGAGATGGTGGATTGGATCAAGTCGGCCTCCAGTCTTACAAAGAAGGGAGATATAGATGAATATGCGTACCTCATGTAGTCCTGGTGTCCAGGCCTGGCCGGGCAGGGGCTGCAGGTGTTTTGAGACTTTTTCCGGCGCACGCAGTTTCCATTGCTACCATTTTTTAATTTTTTTAATTTGAGGTTCCGGGGAAGCGGAGGCCGAATTCCATGAGTAAATATTCAACTGAATGGCTATTCATCAAGGGCAATATATCAATGATCTTTCAAGAAATATGAGAGACGAGAGCACTGTACAAGGTGTGGCCTGGGTCAGAGAGGAGCCTAATGTGCTAGATAGTCATAGACACAAGTTGTACAATGAACAAACAAACGATGCCTTTAGTAGACCATATACAACTCCGCCATCCAGACAAGCTGACTAATTCAAAAATCAATACATTGGATAGATTGATACAATTCATTGGTCCATCTTCAATAAGAATAATACCATCAAGATTTCAGTCTTATTCCAAGCTATATGAGCAGCAGTCTTGCAAAATGTCTCGTGCTTCCTCAGTCAGATCAACTTCTCTTACTGAAGAACTTGATAAACTAGAACAATCAATTACCTTAACGCTCCAAGGTTCATGCCCACTCTCCCTGGCTTTGACTATACAGATGTCTGACTAAGTGAAGAAATCGACCAAAACTTCAGTCGTGCTCATCAAGTAGTAACTTCGAGTATTCTTCCAATCGTCGAAAAATATTCCGAACACTCATCAGCTGTGTGGGAAGGATCCAAGGCGCTTAATTATAAACCTTTTCGATATTGTCACCAGGACTGACGATAATTTAGTTTTGGAAACAGTTCTTCGAAGCCAGTGCCAATGTCTCTCTCTCTGGAATTGAAGAGCAGGAAAATGGAGAAGTTCCATTAAGTGTTAGATCGCAAGATTATCCGAACTCATATGCCGGCTCTTCTTCTGAGAATGATGATACCACGATTAATGCAACAGAAGAACTTGCCTCTATACACCAATCAGAAGATTCTATTTTAGATAATCCAGAAATAACTGGCAGCACTCCGAGGGCTCCGCAACAATACAAGACTAACGAGAATCTTTCAATAGTAGATAACTTGGCGACTACCAATCTCTCCAAAATTGAGCCAACTTTTGTTAAAATGGGAACTTTTGATGAGAAAAGCTTACCAAAAACACCAAACGCTAAAGCTACAGTACCATATAAATCAACGGTTCCTGCTCCATCACCGTTTGACTTTAATGGCCTTCCACTCCTCAAGCCTTCCGCTGATCCTATATTACATCGGATACTTGACAAAAACTACCGCTTACAAGTAACGCCTCATAAGTCATACGATCAGAAAAGACCAACAATATCCCAGCCCATTCGAAGTAGCATGGAGTCTCCCATGTCTTCTCCGCTAGATATTGCGCCACAACTCCACCTCGATCTTTTCAGTTCTCCTATCAAACCAGCTGCTAGTAAATCTAATGCTCCCAGAACGCCTGGTATTAGTGTTCAAACACCTGCAAAGGGAAGAGCAGAAAACCTCACTTTTCAACAAATGCGGAATGAAGAGATCAGCTGGGAAAGTGATAGTGAGGAAGACGCCGAAGGTGTCTATCGAGAGCTTGGTATGAGTCCGCCGAAGACAATACAGTTTAATTTACCTACATCAAGACTTCTTCAGACCCCAGGTAACTTAATCCCAGCCGATTTGTGAGGAAACCTCGCTAAATATAATAAGCACGAGAGGCAAGTCAACGTATTGTCCATGACTTACTGGCCATGGCTGGTGCTGAGTCCAATGACTCAAGCATGGAATATAGTCCTAATATTGTAGCTAAGAGAGAAATTGAGGATGCTTTTTAAGGGAAAGTCATTCGATATTTTCTAAATAATGACTTAGAATTCGATTACTGGCTCATGATCCGGCTTATTTTAATACTATCTTTGGCAAAAATTTTTCTAGGGAGTCCTTTGTAGGGCTCATATTCACTCCCCTGGAACACAAGGCTATTTCTCGTTAAATCTATGTATTTGAGTCTACTCTTGTAGACAAGGTACACGGCTTCAAATTTAGAAGCCACCAGGTACCTGGAAGCCTGACCTGTGCAGTTTATTAAGATTATTTTCTGTATTTCGTGAAACAGCAGAAACAACTTAATTCCTATCCTGCAACTGATCCTAAAGAACTTTGCTCTTGTTAGGATTGACTGTGCATTTAAGCTGGCTATTTACGATGACCCATTATTACTCAATAGTGTAACTAAATAAACTACAACTTAATACCTGATAACCTCAAATACCACCCAAAATCTAAAAGAAGCGATGTCGCTAGACATGCATGTGATTTTGCCTTGATCATATGAGAAATACCCGTGTGCAGATTAGAGAAGAGACTTTCTTTGTCACAATGTTGGGAATGTTTTTTAAGCAACTGGCGGAGCGAAATGGTCTATCATTCCTGGTCACGCGCAAATAGTAAATTTAGCTTACATCCTACTACCATCGTTTTGGAACCCGGAAAGTTCCGATACCACGAACATGACCTTATTGCACAATTCAAACTGCAAATTGCTCTGCATGCTGTTGTCACAAAAATGGGTCTTATCATTTCCTCTAGAAATTTCATGTATGTTCAGCTACCTAGCTATGATACATAAGTGCCAAATGTACATGTCGGATAACTTTTTTGACCTAAGACTAATACTGTACCTAGGAAGCAACGACCACCACCAAGTAGGTTTGCTTACATAGAAAAACATAATCTGGGGGTGCTCATCAAAGGTGTCGTACCTTTTGAGCCGGTTTGGAAGCTTTAATGATTGAGAACAGAGATATCTGTAAGAATAGCTCGCACAGAAGCTTTCAACTGACGTGTGTATAAAAAGATATTTGTGTCTGTCTGTTCCTTCTTACTGTCTACTCTCCGTTACATATCTTCTAGCGTACGTAAGTCCAATACTTGAAAAGGGACAATGATATCTAGGAATAACTCTCTTACATGACAAGGCAAACCCCTAACAGCTTGTAGCCCAGTAAAAGTGCTAAAACGAGTCTATACTATTCCGAAATGTCTGTCGTGAAGAAGGCTAGCATCTTCTAGCTGAATATTACTCAAGACGCTAAGCTTTTCGTGCTGCAGCTGAAAAACGAGTCAGTAACCAGTTGGGCATGTTATTTTAACAATTAAGTCGCAATCATGTATGATGAATAGAATTCACAAGAATCACGAGACGATGAATAAGAAATACAGATGTCATGCGATTTTCTCCTACTTTGATAAAAGGAAAATTCAAAGCCTTTATTAATCCAAACATGCCCTATCATATGTATATATACATGGCTCTACAGCAAGAATTGTGATTATGTCTTGCTGGATTCAAACCGGCCATCTCTTTTCTCCTGTAGGAGGGGTGTCCAGGCTATGGAGACTGTATGGGAGAGGGCAGCTTGTATTATGTAGCAATGAACCTTCCAGCTATTACAGTATTTATAGTATGGCTGCTTTCTTGCAAAGAGTGCCGAGGGGCGCACAATACTCTGCACTGTCAAATTTCCATCCCGAATACCAGTCTTCCAGGTTTGTTTCCTCCTACCAGTATTCATGTTTTCGTGGGGGGAATATTCTCAACACCAGTCAGTGGTGTTCCCTACGAACCTCCAGCTCTCACTGTAGAGTCTGCAGGGCCAAGATTGAGTAACACCTTTTCAAATTTGAGCTGAGTTATCTCCCCCTCCGTCAAAGATACGCTTCCGACAACACTTAAGACGACTGTGTATTATGGTTCGTATATGATTTGGGAATGTACACTTGCGCTGGAACAGCTAAGATAGTTTGTGGAGAGATATCTTCATTAATGTGCACAAGTGAAGTTACTGTGATATTTATTAGTTTCAGATGGGAGGAAGCTCGTCCCTTATCCCCTAGCTTTTTCGCTTGTAGACCGATCACGTAACCAGTATGCAGTTCACCAAAGTGTGCTCCCAAATGAGCAGCCATGCCATTTGTCCTATATCAAAAACCCATCTCTCACATCACAACATGTGCTACACACCGGCGGGCAAACAAAAAGCCCACGAAAGCAAAGTAAAAGACCCTTCCGGCCTCAAGAAAAGCAGGTTTCGACTTGTCTACATTATCATCCCTACTAATCTTAACTTCCGAATCTACTAGCCAGAAGGATATCTGAAATACATGAGTTACTCAACGACCCCAAGTCCGTAACAACTTTTGGATGCCGGCCTAGGCTCTTTCACGGCAGTCACTCTCGACCAAGACTTTTCTGACATATTTTCATGACCTTCGGTCTGTCCTGCGGCATGAATCAGGGGAGGAGTAGGGAGGAGGCTAGGAAGGTCGAGAGACACTCTTAGGTATACAAAGGTCTGCTGCGCCCGGCTGCACGGCCGTTGTGGGAGAACCCCGCACCTAGTGGTTTTTGAGACTTTTCCCTGCAGCCACACACCCGCAAATGGCCATCGTTTCGTCGGCTGTAGAAGAGAGAGAAAATAACGGGATAAAGGCGCCTCATAGTGTATACTCGAATGAAGAACTGTGGGGGGTATTACGGCTGGAAAGAAGTCGTGAAGGAGGCATGGGAGGGAGTACACTGCCCGAGGCATAGATACTCCCGGCCTGTAGGCGGAAAGGACTTACATGTCTATACATAATCTTAGGATCCACAGGATAATGAACTCACACACAGAGGAAAAAAGCGTGCCTAAGCAGTGGTAGGGGTCTAGTTGTCATAGTAACACAATTGTCCGGGAAGGGAGAGGGCTAGTGTTATTATTGACACTAGCGTCGAGCTAGTCCGAGAAGACGTTTGAAGGAGTCCTCGTTCGTGTGTTCTGTAGGCGCGCGAAGGTTTGTAAAATCTCCATATCTTGTTTTTATCTTGTCCCGTGACTTCTATCTTGTACATCCTCTCGCTCCGTAAAAATGCAGCACTTCTACCCCAAAATTCTCTTCCTAACATATCTCGAGTTCTGGCTTCAGGAGAGGGAGTTCATGCCTTTAATAGCTGGGCACGCACCACGGATTTCTTAAGAGGGACACAACAGCAAGTCTGACTAGACTTGAAGCACTGAATATGAGGCTAGAGAGCCTAAGATTAATGTAGTTACATTCTCTTTTTTCCTTTTTCATGTTTCCTTTCAGGGACGAGGATTGGACGGTGTTCCACGGGGTGCGATAGATGGTCTAGCAGAGTTGTAGGTGGTAAGTGAAGATAATAGATGGGTCAAAGGGATGACGGGTCCTCTCTGTCAGGGGAAGGTCGTGAAGTAGATTGACGAGGTCTAATCTGGTGGTAGAGATTGTCTACAAAGAAGAAAGGTGACTCCTATGGAGTCCGGTAAGAATGTATACATCGTGAATCGGGTATCAGACGCGTTATATCACGTGACAGTAACTTCCCTCAATTCACTCTATCCCTTGACACTCTCTAGGAAGAGACGAATAGGCAACTAGTTGCGGTAGATGTTACACGTGGGTCTTGCTGATGGAGAACTGAGAAGTGGATAGATGGTCTTCCCGAAGAAGAGTTGGGTTAAAAAATGTCTTGTAAAGGGTATGTAAAGAAGACGTTGCGGGAAGATAAAACTTCTAACACGGTGACCCATTATATACAGAGATAGAGGCATTTGATAGCCTGTATTAAACATGAGTGATACCTGCCCATTGCCTCGCATGGATGATACTGTGCGGGTCATTCTTCTCATGACTTTTTTTTGATTGTCCCTGAATAACTCTTTGCATCACTAATTCCCTGACGAAGCTAAGACAACTTTATCTGCCACAATCCAACACCCATTTGCTGTGAGGGGACTAATCGCATTAGCTATTCGCATGAAAGTGTGCCGTAAATTAATATATATTCTGTATAAAGAAGTACTACGAAGACTCCATGCTTATCTACTCAATACCGCGCGTAATTAAACTTCCCAAAAGCCAAGTGCATCAGAAGAATTACTGGCAGTGACTGTCAAGAAGAAGCAGCTTATGCTAAGTAATGGATAGCAAGCCTGTCGGCCGAGACAGTATGCGCTTATTAAGACGGCTCATCATGTGGATCAGCTATGTCTGTATGGGTATTGACCTTATAAAAATGAGGCTAGGTGATTTAGAGTGACTCTGGTCCACTGCTAGGGGCGGAGGTTTACGATGCCGAAATCTCTGGGGCACGAAAAGCCTCTGAAGGAGCCATGAGGAAAGCAAGCAATCGCTAGATAAAGGTACTGCTCGACAACTCCACAGTCGTGAGAGCTCTAAGAACCGGCCAAACAAAATCTTCCCAGGCTGCAGTGGAAGTATTTACAAGACTGGCACGACAAGCTAGATCAGTTGAGATCCGATGGATACCAGCCCACGCTGGGACCATGGGGAATGAAGATACAGACAGACTAGCTAAGGAGCTCCCAGGAACCTACCGGATGAAACGGACACATCTCCCTCCGACATGAGGGACAGACCTAAATACAGTTTCGTAGCCCTCACTCGGTTTGTCAGGCAAAGATGTGAAGAAGCAGTGGAATCCTGGTGGCTAGATCACAGACCGAGCTGCTAGGAAGAATTGGATCTCCAGATGAAACGAAAACGTCCACCGGAGCTAGCACTGCTAAAGTGGGCACATCACCGCCTTATCGCAGCAAGGACGGGACATGGCGATTTCAGAAAATACCGTGAAAGATTTGGCCACGAATTTGAAAACTGCAAATGCGTGTGTGGGAGGGAGATACACCTTGCTATTTTGCTGAATGCCGGATTGCTCTACAGCAATGGAGAAACTTGAAGCACGAGCCACCGCCGAGAGGACGGGAGATGCTGGCAGAAAAGGGTTGGGAAAGATTTCTCCAGTTCTAAA